CATGTAAAACAATTACAGGCTTTCGTTTTACACTCACTTGGCAGAATGGTAGTACCTCCCTGGGTGGTTGCTGTCTACCAACCTACTACCTATACTGTATACCCTTTTTAAATCCTTGAATTCTATTTTGGGTTGAATGTGGGCCATTCTAAAGATATCATTTTGTGTTAGTTATAAATTTTAGATTTGTGGAATTTCTACAAATGTAAAGCTGGGAATTTGGGAGCTTGACTTTTTCAAATTCCTAACAAATGCATCATATGTTTTATGTATAAAGAATCATATTACAGTATTTATTATTATTAATACTGTAATTATTATTATTCTTATTATCTTCTTTCTTTCAATAAACCGGCTGTATCCCACTGAAGCAGAGGGACCCAAAAAAGAAAAATTAAAGTTTCTCTTTTTAACTTCAGTAACATATACAGGAGAAGGGGTTACCAGTCTCCTTGCTCCCAGCATTTTATTCGCCTCTTATGTTCAATACTTTTGGGAGCCCAGCTTGATGTGTCATTCATTAAAGTGTATTGTAAGTGAAAATTAAAAATTACTGTTGTCCTTTTTTATTTTATTTTTTTATTATCACACTGGCCGATTCCCACCAAGGCAGGGTGGCCCGAAAAAGAAAAACTTTCACCATCATTCACTCCATCACTGTCTTGCCAGAAGGGTGCTTTACACTACAGTTTTTAAACTGCAACATTAACACCCCTCCTTCAGAGTGCAGGCACTGTACTTCCCATCTCCAGGACTCAAGTCCGGCCTGCCGGTTTCCCTGAATCCCTTCATAAATGTTACTTTGCTCACACTCCAACAGCACGTCAAGTATTAAAAACCATTTGTCTCCATTCACTCCTATCAAACACGCTCTACGCAGGCCCTGCTGGAAGTCCAAGCCCCTCGCACACAAAACCTCCTTTACCCCCTCCCTCCAACCCTTCTAGGCCGACCCCTACCCCGCCTTCCCTTTCCCACAACAAAACTGATACACTCTTGAAGTTATTCTTTTTCGCTCCATTCTCTCTACATGTCCGAACCACCTCAACAACCCTTCCTCAGCCCTCTGGACAACAGTTTTGGTAATCCCGCACCTCCTCCTAACTTCCAAACTACGAATTCTCTGCATTATATCACACCACACATTGCCCTCAGACATGGGCATCTCCACTGCCTCCAGCCTTCTCCTCGCTGCAACATTCATCACCCATGCTTCACACCCATATAAGAGCGTTGGTAAACTATACTCTCATACATTCCCCTCTTTGCCTCCAAGGACAAAGTTCTCTGTCTCCACAGACTCCTAAGTGCACCACTCACTCTTTTTCCCTCATCAATTCTATGATTCACCTCATCTTTCATAGACCCATCCGCTGACACGTCCACTCCCAAATATCTGAATACGTTCACCTCCTCCATACTCTCTCCCTCCAATCTGATATTCAATCTTTAACACCTAATCTTTTTGTTATCCTCATAACCTTACTCTTTCCTGTATTCACCTTTAATTTTCTTTCTTTGCACACCCTAACCAAATTCATCCACCAATCTCTGCAGCTTCCTCTTCAGAATCTCCCAAGAGCACAGTGTCATCAGCAAAGAGCAGCTGTGACAACTCCCACCTGTGTGTGATTCTTATCTTTTAACTCCACGCCTCTTGCCAAGACCCTCGCATTACTTCTCTTACAAACCCATCTATAAATATATTAAACAACCACGGTGACATCACATATCCTTGTCTAAGGCCTACTTTTACTGGGAAAAAAATTTCCCTCTTTTCTACATACTCTAACTTGAGCCTCACTATCCTCGTATTAAAAATCTTCACTGCTTTCAGTAACCTACCTCCCTACACCATACACTTGCAACATCTGCCACATTGCCCCCCTATCCACCCTGTCATACGCCTTTTCCAAATCCATAAATGCCACAAAGACCTCTTTAGCCTTATCTAAATACTGTTCACTTATATGTTTCACTGTAAACACCTGGTCCACACACCCCCTACCTTTCCTAAAGCCTCCTTGTTCATCTGCTATCCTTTCTCCGTCTTACTCTTAATTCTTTCAATTATAACTCTACCATACACTTTACCAGGTACACTCAACAGACTTATCCCCCTATAATTTTTGCACTCTCTTTTATTCCCCTTTGCCTTTATACAAAGGAACTATGCATGCTCTCTGCCAATCCCTAGGTACCTTACCCTCTTCCATACATTTATTAAATAATTGCACCAACCACTCCAAAACTATATCCCCACCTGCTTTTAACATTTCTATCTTTATCCCATCAATTCCCGGCTGCCTTACCCCCTTTCATTTTACCTACTGCCTCACGAACTTCCCCCACACTCACAACTGGCTCTTCCTCACTCCTACAAGATGTTATTCCTCCTTGCCCTATACACGAAATCACCAGCTTCCCTATCTTCATCAACATTTAACAATTCCTCAAAATATTCCCTCCATCTTCCCAATACCTCTAACTCTCCATTTAATAACTCTCCTCTCCTATTTTTAACTGACAAATCCATTTGTTCTCTAGGCTTCCTTAACTTGTTAATCTCACTCCAAAACTTTTTCTTATTTTCAACAAAATTTGTTGATAACAGCTCACTCCCACTCTCTCATTTGTCTCTTTTACATTGCTTCACCACTCTCTTAACCTCTCTCTTTTTCTCCAATATACTCTTCCCTCCTTGCATCACTTCTACTTTGTAAAAACTTCTCATATGCTAACTTTTTCTCCCTTACTACTCTCTTTACAATCATCATTCCAACCAATCGCTCCTCTTCCCTCCTGCACCCACTTTCCTGTAACCACAAACTTCTGCTGAACACTCTAACACTACATTTTTAAACCTACCCCATTCCTCTTCGACCCCATTGCCTATGCTCTCATTAGCCCATCTATCCTCCAATAGCTGTTTATATCTTACCCTAACTGCCTCCTCTTTTAGTTTATAAACCTTCACCTCTCTCTTCCCTGATGCTTCTATTCTCCTTGTATCCCATCTACCCCTTTGTTTTAGATTATGTCATATAGGCCAAGTGTCATCCTACCATATCCAGCCCACAGGTGTATGCAGCATTTCATCCAAGAAAAATGATCAGTAAACCAATGCTTGAATCAAGGCAATAGAGAAACACATAATATGAAATTTGAAATCCAAGACTTCTGCACTGACCTCTTGCCTCAGGAGAGAGTCTGCAAGCTCTTGGACACTTGTAGTAAGGAGAAGCGTTCCACGAATAACTTTGGAGAGCTGGGCTAGAGACCGATGGACTGTCTGTACAATACTGACCACAGAAAAATATTCCAGCTGTATGAATGCCTTGACTGGGGACTCAGATGATGAGGCTGGTATAGAAACTTTGGCTTGAATGAGATTAGCACCCTATGAAGAAAAAAAATGATTAGTGACTCAACTGTGTATCAAACAGCAAATAACTAATTTCTTTCAGGTTCCAGGGTAGTATTATTTCACATATATTTTATGTTCTGTAACAGTATAGGTAAAGTACCTGATTTAATTTCTTCCATAAATTCAACACTGGTGACAACTGGGAATGCCACTTTTCACGGTCAAAGCGACTTGCTAGCTCTGGCGACCTCATCAAAACTAAGTGAAAAAATGTCAATATTTGTATTACAGCATATACATTATCAATATGCAAAACATCTCTTAGGAGTGACGAAGAGCCAGATGTGAGTATGAGGGAGGTGTGTGAGGCATTACATAGAATGAAAGGGGGTAAAGCAGCTGGAACTAACAGGATCATGACAGAAATGTTAAAAGCAGGGGATGATTTAGTCTTGGAGTGGTTGGTATTTTTGTTCAATAAATGTATGAAAGAGAGGAAGGTACCTAAAGAATTGGCAAAGAGAAAGTATAATTCCTTTATATAAATGGAAGGGGGACAAAAGAGATTGCAAAAATTATAGGGAAAGAAGTTTACTGAGTATACCAGGTAAAGTGTATGGTAGGGTTATTATTGAAAGAATGAGAGGTAAGACAGAGAGCAGGATTGCAGATAAACAAGGAGGCTTTAGAATGGATAGGAGATGTGTAGATCAAGTGTTTACATTGAATCATACATGTGAACAGTATTTAGATAAAGGTAGGGAAGTTTTCATTGCATTTATGGACTTAGACAAGGCATATGATAGGGTGGATAGGGGAGCAATGTGGCAGATGTTGCAAGTGTATAGAATAGGTAGTAAGTTACTAAAGGCTGTAAAGAGTTTTTATGAGGACAGTGAGGCTCAGGTTAGGGTGTGTAGGAGAGAGGGAAATTACTTCCCAGTAAAAGTAGGCCTTAGACAGGGATGTGTGATGTCACCATGGTTATTTAACATATTTATAGATGGGGTTAAGAACATAAGAAAGAAGGAACACTCCAACAGGCCTACAAGAAGTACAAGAGATAAATACTATGGGGAGAGAGGTGGGATTAAATTATGGTTAATCAAATACAAAATGGGAGTTGACACAGTTACTTTTTCCTGGTGATACTGTGCTTTTCGGAGATTCTAAAGAAAAGTTGCAAAGGTTTGTGGACGAGTTTGGGAGGGTGTGTAAAGGAAGAAAGTGGAAAGTGAACACAGATAAGAGTAAGGTGATAAGGGTATCAAACAATTTAGATAAAGAAAAACTGGATATCACACTGGAGGGAGGGAGTATGGAAGAAGTGAATGTGTTCAGATATTTGGAAGTTGACTTGTTAGTGGAAGGGAATGTACAAGAATATAGTGGTACTAACACTCTTATATGGGTGTGAAGTATGGGTTGTAAGTACTGCAGCAAGAAGGAGGCTGGAGGCAGTGGAGATGTCATGTCTAAGGGCAATGTGTGGTGTAAATATTATGCAGAAAATTTGTAATATGGAAATTAGGAGGAGGTGTGGAGTTACTAAAGGTATTAGTCAGAGGGCTGAAGAGGAGTTGTTGAGGTGGTTTGGTTATTTAGAGGGGATGGAACAAAATAGAATGACTTGGAGAGCGTATAAATCTGCAGTGGAAGGAAGACGGGGTAGGGGTGGTCTTAGGAAAGGTTGGAGGGAGGGAGTAAAGGAGGTTTTGTGGGATAGGGGCTTGGGCTTCTAGGAAACATGCGTGAGAATGTTAGATAGGAGTGGAGACAAATGGTTTTTGGGACCTGACGAGCTGTTGGAGTTTGAGCAGGGTAATATTTTGTGAAGGGATTCAGGGAAACCGGTTAACCAGACTTCAGTCCTGGAGGTGGGAAGTACAATGCTTGCACTTTAAAGGAGGGGTTTGTCATATTGCCTGTTTGGAGTGACATCTAAACTGTTGTATCTGAGCACCTCTGCAAAGACAGTGATTATATATGAATGATGGTGAAAGTGTTGAGTGATGATAGTTTTTTCTTTCTTATTGGATTTTTCCTTCTTTTTGGGTTTTTTGTTTCTTTTTGGCCAACATGTTAAAAAAAAAAATTATGTATGCAAATAAAACCAGAGTATGACATATGATCAGGGAAGAAAACAGTGTGGGAAATGCAGTACATATTATTATTACTGCATTTGTGAGCTATGACACATTTTAATGGTTACTTTTTTTTTTGTTAACTAAAATACAGTTTACTTCTTTGTGTTTTTACTTGTACTGCATCTCCCTCCTATTTTGTTTTTATAATTTATATGTGCCCATGAAAAAATGCTGCCTCCATTCATTATTCAAAGTGACATGCCACAAACTGCTGCCTCCACTCACTGTTCATCATGACATGCCACAACTACTATCTCCACTCATTTTTCATGGTGATGTGCCACAAATGCCCTCCAAATCATCCTATTTTGTTCCATCTTCTCTAAATGTCTGAATCACCTCAACAATCCCTCTTCAGCTCTCTGGATAATACTTTTAGTATCCCTGCACCTCCTAATCTCCAAGCTACAAATCCTCTGCATAATATTCACACCACACATTACCCTCAGACACAACATCTTCACTGCCTCCAGCTTCCTTGCTGCAACATGTGGTAATTATAGACTGTGAAAGTGTCCCAATATAATATATATGTACTTAGTTTAGTGTCATGTATAATGATGAAGACTTGGCTGTGAGCTGACCCCAAAGTCAACCATTAGCTTGATGTAAGTGAAGCTTCTTAAGTCTTGAATTTTATTATTTGTGCGTGCATGTGTTTTTAATATACGTATTTCATGTGAAGAATACTGCAATAAGTTTCATCACTTATTATACTTACAGTGCTGTGGATAATAATACTGCAATGCATAGTAAATAACAGTAATTATTATTTATTTTTATTATCACACTGGCCGATTCCCACCAAGGCAGGGTGGCCCAAAAAAGAAAAACTTTCACCATCATTCACTCCATCACTGTCTTGCCAGAAGGGTGCTTTACACTACAGTTTTTAAACTGCAACATTAACACCCCTCCTTCAGAGTGCAGGCACTGTACTTCCCATCTCCAGGACTCAAGTCCGGCCTGCCGGATTCCCTGAACCCCTTCATAAATGTTACTTTGCTCACACTCCAACAGCACGTCAAGTATTAAAAACCATTTGTCTCCATTCACTCCTATCAAACACGCTCATGCATACCTGCTGGAAGTCCAAGCCCCTCGCACACAAAACCTCCTTTACCCCCTCTCTCCAACCTTTCCTAGGCCGACCCCTACCCCGCCTTCCTTCCACTACAGACTGATACACTCTTGAAGTCATTCTGTTTCGCTCCATTCTCTCTACATGTCCGAACCACCTCAACAACCCTTCCTCAGCCCTCTGGACAACAGTTTTGGTAATCCCGCACCTCCTCCTAACTTCCAAACTACGAATTCTCTGCATTATATTCACACCACACATTGCCCTCAGACATGACATCTCCACTGCCTCCAGCCTTCTCCTCGCTGCAACATTCATCACCCATGCTTCACACCCATATAAGAGCGTTGGTAAAACTATACTCTCATACATTCCCCTCTTTGCCTCCAAGGACAAAGTTCTTTGTCTCCACAGACTCCTAAGTGCACCACTCACTCTTTTTCCCTCATCAATTCTATGATTCACCTCATCTTTCATAGACCCATCTGCTGACACGTCCACTCCCAAATATCTGAATACATTCACCTCCTCCATACTCTCTCCCTCCAATCTGATATTCAATCTTTCATCACCTAATCTTTTTGTTATCCTCATAACCTTACTCTTTCCTGTATTCACCTTTAATTTTCTTCTTTTGCACACCCTACCAAATTCATCCACCAACTCTGCAACTTCTCTTCAGAATCTCCCAAGAGCACAGTGTCATCAGCAAAGAGCAGCTGTGACAACTCCCACTTTGTGTGTGATTCTTTATCTTTTAACTCCACGCCTCTTGTCAAGACCCTCGCATTTACTTCTCTTACAACCCCATCTATAAATATATTAAACAACCACGGTGACATCACACATCCTTGTCTAAGGCCTACTTTTACTGGGAAATAATTTCCCTCTTTCCTACATACTCTAACTTGAGCCTCACTATCCTCGTAAAAACTCTTCACTGCTTTCAGTAACCTACCTCCTACACCATACACTTGCAACATCTGCCACATTGCCCCCTATCCACCCTTTTCATACGCCTTTTCCAAATCCATAAATGCCACAAAGACCTCTTTAGCCTTATCTAAATACTGTTCACTTATATGTTTCACTGTAAACACCTGGTCCACACACCCCCTACCTTTCCTAAAGCCTCCTTGTTCATCTGCTATCCTATTCTCCGTCTTACTCTTAATTCTTTCAATAATAACTCTACCATACACTTTACCAGGTATACTCAGCAGACTTATCCCCCTATAATTTTTGCACTCTCTTTTATCCCCTTTGCCTTTATACAAAGGAACTATGCATGCTCTCTGCCAATCCCTAGGTACCTTACCCTCTTCCATACATTTATTAAATAATTGCACCAACCACTCCAAAACTATATCCCACCTGCTTTTAACATTTCTATCTTTATCCCATCAATCCCGGCTGCCTTACCCCCTTTCATTTTACCTACTGCCTCACGAACTTCCCCCACACTCACAACTGACTCTTCCTCACTCCTACAAGATGTTATTCCTCCTTGCCCTATACACGAAATCACAGCTTCCCTATCTTCATCAACATTTAACAATTCCTCAAAATATTCCCTCCATCTTCCCAATACCTCTAACTCTCCATTTAATAACTTCCTCTCCTATTTTTAACTGACAAATCCATTTGTTCTCTAGGCTTTCTTAACTTGTTAATCTCACTCCAAAACTTTTTCTTATTTTCAACAAAATTTGTTGATAACATCTCACCCACTCTCTCATTTGCTCTCTTTTTACATTGCTTCACCACTCTCTTAACCTCTCTCTTTTTCTCCATATACTCTTCCCTCCTTGCATCACTTCTACTTTGTAAAAACTTCTCATATGCTAACTTTTTCTCCCTTACTACTCTCTTTACATCATCATTCCACCAATCGCTCCTCTTCCCTCCCGCACCCACTTTCCTGTAACCACAAACTTCTGCTGAACACTCTAACACTACATTTTTAAACCTACCCCATACCTCTTCGACCCCATTGCCTATGCTCTCATTAGCCCATCTATCCTCCAATAGCTGTTTATATCTTACCCTAACTGCCTCCTCTTTTAGTTTATAAACCTTCACCTCTCTCTTCCCTGATGCTTCTATTCTCCTTGTATCCCATCTACCTTTTACTCTCAGTGTAGCTACAACTAGAAAGTGATCTGATATATCTGTGGCCCCTCTATAAACATGTACATCCTGAAGTCTACTCAACAGTCTTTTATCTACCAATACATAATCCAACAAACTACTGTCATTTCGCCCTACATCATATCTTGTATACTTATTTATCCTCTTTTTCTTAAAATATGTATTACCTATAACTAAACCCCTTTCTATACAAAGTTCAATCAAAGGGCTCCCATTATCATTTACACCTGGCACCCCAAACTTACCTACCACACCCTCTCTAAAAGTTTCTCCTACTTTAGCATTCAGGTCCCCTACCACAATTACTCTCTCACTTGGTTCAAAGGCTCCTATACATTCACTTAACATCTCCCAAAATCTCTCTCTCTCCTCTGCATTCCTCTCTTCTCCAGGTGCATACACGCTTATTATGACCCACTTCTCGCATCCAACCTTTACTTTAATCCACATAATTCTTGAATTTACACATTCATATTCTCTTTTCTCCTTCCATAACTGATCATTTAACATTACTGCTACCCCTTCCTTTGCTCTAACTCTCTCAGATACTCCAGATTTAATCCCATTTATTTCCCCCCACTGAAACTCTCCTACCCCCTTCAGCTTTGTTTCGCTTAGGGCCAGGACATCCAACTTCTTTTCATTCATAACATCAGCAATCATCTGTTTCTTGTCATCCGCACTACATCCACGCACATTTAAGCATCCCAGTTTTATAAAGTTTTTCTTCTTCTCTTTTTTAGTAAGTGTCTACAGGAGAAGGGGTTACTAGCCCATTGCTCCCGGCATTTTAGTCGCCTCATACGACACGCATGGCTTACGGAGGAAAGATTCTTTTCCACTTCCCCATGGACAATAGAAGAAATAAAGAAGAACAAGAACTATTTAGAAAAAGGAGAAAAACCTAGATGTATGTATATATATATGCATGTGCGTGTCTGTGAAGTGTGACCAAAGTGTTAGTAGGAGTAGCAAGATATCCCTGTTATCTAGCGTGTTTATGAGACAGAAAAAGAAACCAGCAATCCTACCATCATGCAAAACAGTTACAGGTTTCTGTTTCACAGTCATCTGGCAGGACGGTAGTACTTCCCTGGGTGGTTGCTGTCTACCAACCTACTACCTTAAAAAATAACAGTAATGTCTTCATCAATTCATTTACTGTATGTATATATTTTTACTTTTTGTCCTTGAAACTATTTTGAGTCTCTTTAGATATTCCAGATGACATGATGTGAACCTTAGACCCATGGTGATCATAATGTTTCAGAGATGTACGTGAACAAAGCCAAACCAGTATCAATGCCTGATAAAGAAAAATAAGTCTCAATACTGTGGCAAGAACAATTCACAACATACAGTTTGGAGAAGAAACTCTGGATGATGTTTTGGTCCATCATAGACCATTATCAACTCCCAACCATTATGAAATGCCTGATATAACTGGTACTGTATTGTTTTTGTGTTATAATATGTATATGACTATTCATGCAGCCAGGATGCATCATTTCTGCAGAACAGAGAACCCAAGGTGAATGATGAGGGACTGAGTTAAGTGTTCAGTATAATAATGACCTTCCAGTCATGTGATACTATACCATCCTAGTGAGTACTAGAGAGGAGCCTTAATACGTACTCACTTAGGATCCACAAATACTTAAGTTTATTTGTGAAATCAACTCATGGCCAAGTTGTAAATTCCAAGGATATACTCTGGGAAATATAAAAATGTTCGTTCTACAAAATATCTGGAAAAATGACAAGTTACAGGGTGTTATTCTATGAGTACAACAACTACATGATAGAATTAATTAAATACTACATGATTAAATTAATCTTGCTACCTTTTTTTTATTTGGAGTGTGAAACTGCTTGAATAAAAAAGCATTTACAGTAACCACCCACCTTTGAGCTGAGCAATGACTTGTGAGCTGACAATACGCTGCCAAGATCTTTCAATATTAGCTGGGAGACCAAAATAAGCTGGATCATCTTCTTCAGGTAGACTTCTGATAAGAGCAGTGAAGTCCTGTGAATAATCAATTAACAATAATGATAATGAAGGATTTTTAACTTTACTTCATATGCTTAAAGCTGATGCAAAATAATTTTTTCTTGTATATGATTTAATACGATTAAATAAACTATTTTATACAAAAGTATATTAAAATACTGTATATTTTTCCATGGTAGAATACATGTGTGGTTAGCAATGCCTTCTAGGCATGATTCTTTTATTTATGATGTGATGCAAGTAGTAAAGCAACTAGAACATGGCTCTCTCTCTCCATTTTTGTGCTTCTTCAGTTTTACTCTAAAAATCAATCAATCACACGATTGTCTTCAATTAATATCATCTGTTGTCACTGAAGTTAAAAGAAGTGATTATTCTAAATATGTGGGTATTAGAAACTATATAGGTAGTAGGTTGGTAGACAGCAACCGCCCAGGGAGGTACTACCGTCCTGCCAAGTGAGTGTAAAACGGAAACCTATAATTGTTTTACATGATGGTAGGATTGCTGGTGTCCTTTTTGCTGTCTCATAAACGTGCAAGATTTCAGGTACGTCTTGCTACCTCTACTTACACTTAGATACATACACACACACATACATATACAAGCATATATATATACACACCCCTGTGGGTTTTCTTCTATTTTCTTTCTAGTTCTTGTTCTTGTTTATTCCCTCTTATCTCCCTGGGGAAGTGGAACAGAATTTTTCCTCCGTAAGCCATGCGTGTTGTAAGAGGCGACTAATTGTTAGGTAAGACACATATGCAATACCTGTCGGTATTGTATACCATTTTGATGTCAGGGCGACTACTGCCAGGATCAAGGGGCTAGTAACCCCTTCTCCTGTACAAATTACTAAATTTAAAAAGAGAAACTTTTGTTTTTCCTTTTGGGCCACCCTGCCTCGGTGGGATACGGCCGGTTTGTTGAAAGAAGAAAGAAGAATTAGAAACTACTGGTAAGGCATCACAAAGACTAAATAGGTGCTGTTGTTTTTAACCCTCACACAGGGCAGTACAGATTTTTAAGTGAATTTAAATATTTAACTAACAGACTATATACATGCTTGGAAATTTGCATATTAGAATTCTGACATGCAATCTTCCAGATAAATTATTATTCTTTGTGAAATGAAAAAATGGATTTTACCCCAGTTTCATGATCCCGTATATTTTTAAATAGTAGGTACTGAATTTATCGAATAAAACTATTTGTCAACATTTTATCTTACCTGATAATTAACAGTAGTTGGCAGAACCATGTTCTGTGCCAACTGATTATGAGAAAGTTTGCGTCCACCAATAACATCACTTGTAAAGAAGGTATATAGGTATGCAGTAAGAATTCGCAAATCCCATACATTGTCTATACGTCCACCATAGATTGCATTTTCAAACAAGCCATGAATAAAGTTCCATTTAATTTCACCAGTACCTGTCAAAAACAAAATATTAACAAGTAATTTATTGTATAGGAGTGACAATAAACAACGAAAAAGTAAGATACTTGCCATATTTCAGTTACAATTGTATTGCCAAAAAAGCTAAAAATTTATATAAAAACATTAGCACTGTAGAATGAATATCTTTGGTCTTATGCCCAAAATTTACATCCCGTAAAAAATGTGTGCACACTTTGTTAGTAAACTAGAAAGGATTAATAACAAAGTGGGTATTATAGGAAGGGCAAAATAATTACTGTGCATTATGTTTACCATTCTACCCATTTCCCACCAATTTATAACATACGCAAAGCATAAAAGCTACTCTAATTGGTATTATACTTATAAGATTTTTTTCATTAGTAATGCTTTGTTATTATATTCATGTTTTTATTAACTTATCAACATATTCATTAGGACTAAGTATTACTCTTCATTTATATATAACCATGTTTTACATACATGTAAAAATATTTGTTTACATTCAATTAGTGTTACTCTCAGATTAAGTGTCATATGCTTAGCATAATTATGGGCTTTTTCATATTATAAATAACTAATGTAAATCAATCTTTGTAACACAAATGTATATTCAGGTAATAAAATTATCATCATCATTATTATTATTTATAATACATGTATCCAGTACAACACTAACCTTCTTGATTAAATAATCTATCCAGAATATCTAACCCAGCTTTCAAATCAGCCAAGGAGAACTCATAGAACTTCGACCAGCCTTGTGGTATGTAGGTTCTACGCTCTTGAACAACAGCATGGAACCATGCCAAAACAAAGAGTGCCTGGGAACGGCTAACATTATTTCCACGGGCAACGATCTCTGGGGTCCACGAATCATATGTTCGCTGAAGGTTTTTCTTGATTCCTGCTGGTGCCTGAGGAAGGACAAACAAGCTACACACATTTGCAGATCAAAATTATTTTACTGCACTGTCTCCCACATAGACCTACATCAATGATGCCAGTATCACTTACATAGATCTACATATAAATCCCAGAGGCCTCAAATTTGGAGAGGTCTAGTAGGCCTAGGCATGAGAAAATGGGTCTGTACAGTCAGTGTGCTGTATACAGAAAATTGGGGCTACAGCAGTGCAATATGGGAATGCTATCTTAGTGTTCCATTGTCCACAATGCAGTGCCAATGCAATACTCTCATTCCCAAGTGAATTCATCACTGATTATTCCCTGGTGACAGTTCATACAATGAGGATAGTGATTCCAAGGATAATTTTACAGGTCTGAACATATAGTGACCAAAAGTGACAAACAAGATGCCAGAAATAAAATTAAAAACCCTGATGACCCATAGCCATCCACCTCTGGGATCGTATGTTCACAAGTCCACCCTGGAAGCAAAAGCTAATATTCTCCCATGGTTTTGCACCACTAGAACAATGGACGTAGTTAATTTACGAAAGATAGTATGATGATAGTGATGTGGACTTTAAGTTCCTAGCAACTGATGATCAATCAAGTGATAATCATGTCTACTATTTTTATGAAGCTTACATCACTATTTCTTTTTGTAAGACCAGACCAGGGAATTGTTACTTGTAGCTTATTATTTGTAAAACCAGTGTATTTTGACCCCATTAACCCTGTTGAATTTTTACTTTTAGTTCACAGTTATTATCTTGCAATTAGTATATTTAGCTTCTTAACCTTTTCAGGGTTTCCGATGTACTAGTATGGCTTACGCACCAGGGTTATTGACGTACTAGAACGCCTAAATTTAGCACCCTCAAATCTAGTGAGAGAAAGCTGGTAGGCCTGCATATGAAAGAATGGGTCTATGTGGTCAGTGTGTGCAGTATAAAAAAAATCCTGCAGCACACAGTGCATAATGAGAAAAAAAAACTCCGACCGTGTTTTTTGGTTTAAAACAGCGACTTTGCAGTGTATTTTCGTATGGTATTTATGGTTGTATTCTAGTTTTCCTGCTCTCATTTTATAGAATGGAAGACATATTACAGAAATTGAGATGATTTTGATTGGTTTCATAATGAAAAGTACCTTGAAATTGAGCTCAAAGTAGCAGAAATGTTTGATTTTTACCAAAGTTCAAGAGTCAACAAATCATGCCAAGCGTCCAATACACATGAACTAGTGAGTCTAATATTCTTCCACAAGTGTACTGACATTATTTATACCATTTCTACACTAATGCAGTAGTCTGCATAACAGTAAATCTTCTATTTTTTTGCGAGAATAAAAATTCAAAGTGGAAAGCAAAAGAGATGTAAGAGGGGCCTGGGGACGTGACTAATGAACAGAAAATGTTATTTTAGTGCCAGGAATATCTGTCTTGCTCATTCTGGTATTTGGGATCTGACGATCTGTTGGAGCGTGAGCAGGGTAATATTTAGTGAAGGGATTCAGGGAAACCGGTTATTTTTATATAGCCGGACTTGAGTCCTGGAAATGAGAAGTACAATGCCTGCACTCTAAAGGAGGGGTTCGGGATATTGGCAGTTTGGAGGGATATGTTGTGTATCTTTATACATATGTGCTTCTAAGCTGTTGTGTTCTGAGCACCTCTGCAAAAACAGTGATTATGTGTGAGTGAGGTGAAAGAGTTGAATGATGATGAAAGTATTTTCTTTTTGGGGATTTTCTTTCTTTTTGGGTCACCCTGCCTCAGTGGGAGACAGCCGACTTGTTAAAAAAAAAAAAATGGAAATTGGCATCTTCTGAAATTTGTCGACTAGTACACTGAAATTGGCCAAAAATAGGGCTCAAAGTGGGCGAAATCACCGATGCGTGAACATTGTCGAGACCGCTAACTTCGCAAGAGCATAACTCCGTAAGTTTTCCATCAAATTTCATACTTTTGGTGTCGTTATGATCGGGAAAAGATTCTCTATCATTCCATAAGAAAAAATAATTTTTTTTCCGAAAAATTTTTGACCCTGAGAACGAGTTTAGGAGAGGGCCTCTCAACCCTGAAAGGATTAACAATTATTTACAATCCAGTGTATTAGTTTACCAAGCTTACAATGTACATTTATTATTTAGTTCAATATTACACTATTATTTGTATTCGTATACTAGGTTGCTGCATTACTGTACGTCACTGTTAGGCTTATGAATATATGCACTGATCCAGAGTTGAACCTCCTCTCTTATATTTACAATAATCAATTCATTGCAGACCAGGACTAAATATTATACTGCAAACCATGCAAAAACTATCTTCAACAACACTAAAAAAAATTCTTAATATTTAATTACAATGCCAGATCCTTATATAAATGCTACTATTACATCTCTGCTCTCCTAGTCACTAAAAAGCAATCTGACTTTTGTTGTTCTTACTGAAACCTGGCTCAACCATGACACTACAGATCTCTACAACTAACTGGAGTAGGGCACACAGCTACAGTGGACTCCCAGTTATCGGCTGCTTCTGTTATCGGCCGGTTTTTTGGTGCCTGGTTATCAGCCGTTAATTCGGTGATTGGCCATTTGGGACGCGTCCGTCCACCAGCTGGGGCCGCTTGCGCGTCAGTTTGGCTATGTCTTTTGGTGTGTAAGGAAGCTTCTGCTCATACATCCAAACATTCGCTTGTTTTCCATTGTTTTTTGTGTTTTTTTTGCAGTGCAACTGTGAAATAAGTAACTATGGCTCCAAAGAAAGCTCCTAGTAAAGTTCCTGTGGTAAAGAAAGTGAGAAACACCATGGAATTTAAGCGTGAAGTGTAGCAGGCATGCAGGGAGTGTAGCAGGCATGCAGGGAGTGTAACAGGGATGCAGGGAGTGAAACAGGCATGCAAGGAGTGAAACAGGCATGAAGGGAGTGTAACAGGCATGCAGGGAGTGTAGCAGGCATTCAGGGAGTGTAGCAGGCATGCAGGAAGTGTAGCAGGTATGCTGGGAGTGTAGCAGGCATGCAGGAAGTGTAGCAGGCATGTTGGGAGTGTAGCAGGCATGTTGGGAGTGTAGCAGGCATGCAGGAAGTGTAGCAGGCATTCCAGAAGCCAGCATTAGTCTTCAATAAAGGTATGTAATACTGATTTAACTGTTAAAAAAAATGATTTTTTGGTGAATATTTTTGTCTGGAATGGATTAATTGTAATTATATTAATTCTTATGGGAAATATTATTTTGGTTTTCGGCCATTTCGGTTTCAGGCCGGGCTTCTGGAATGGATTACGGCTGATAACTGAGGGTCCACTGTAGAGGCAAATGCAGACCTTATCAATGGGGTGGGGAAACAGCACTCTACTAAACTAATGAGGTGAAATATATTCATTCAACCTGCACCAGAGACGAGCTCAGAGAATACGTAGTAACACAATTCTCAACCATGTATGTATCTGTAGTAGTATAATTCTCAACCAAGTATGTACTCTTATAATAGGAGCTGCCAACAGGTCACCAAAAACCAACATAACAAACTTTGGAGAAAACCTCAAGGATCTGATCATTAGCAATACATGCTAGTGACTTCAACATCAACCTCATTCAATCTGAATACCCCTAAGTAGACTTCCTGAATAATGTATACAATTGCTTACTAATACCCTCAATAACCAAGCCTATAGGGAGCAAGGGGCTAGTAACCCCTTATCCTGTATACATTACTAAAGTTAAAACAAGAGATTTTTGTTTTTCTTTTTGGGTCACCCTGCCTCGGTGGGATACGGCCGATTTGTTGAAAGAAGAAGAACCAAGCGTATAAGAATAACTGAGAATACTGTAACATCACTTGACCACATATCAGGCATTATCAAAGACAATACTACTGATCCACCAGACACACGTAATCATACAACCTGTTCTCATGTTACACCTGAACATGTTGTTTGTAGCATTCTAATTTTTTTTCAGGTGCCACTCTGCTGCTGCACATTTCCTGGTTATGCATAGTTAGCTATTTTTTTATTTAGTAATTTTAGCATACATACAGAGGTACAAAAAATACAGGTAAGAGCAGCATGCCAAAGCCACTTATATGCATAGCATTACAGGCTGGCTTAAAATTAACTTAAGATTAACTAAGCAATGATGAAATCAGTGATAAAACATTATTGTAAACAGATAACTATAAAGCACAAATGAGTATTACAAAGACAGGTCATATGGTTGCTTGCATTGCTGTACATTCAGTCAAATGGAGTATTATATTAGGTAGTGTATTTAAAAAATAACAAAGTTAGATTGGGTCCTAGGTTTAACATTTGTGTGATATAATTGTGAGTAACATATAGGATATACAATTTATAAGGTTCAGTTATTCAGTATTTATTTGGTTTTGAGTGAGTAAGTGATCTTTGAGAAGAGACTTGAATTTATAAACAGGTAGTGTTTCTTTTATATTTACAGGTAATGAATTCCAGATTTTAGGGCCTATTATGTGCATTGAGTTTTTGCATAGCGTGAGATGGACACGAGGAACATCAAAGAGTGATCTGTGCCTTGTGTTATGGTCATGTGTTCTGTTGAGGTTGGCAAGATGTTTGAGGGGAGGGTTAATATCAGAGTTAAGTGTTCTATGTATGTAATAGGTGCAGTAATAAGTATGGATGTTTTGTATGGTGAGTAGGTTGAGTGTTTTGAATATTGGTGGAGTGTGCTGCCTGTAGTGAGAATTTATCATCATTCTAACTGCAGCCTTTTGTTGGGTAATTAGTGGTCTGAGATGGTTAATTGATATAACAGTCTAATAGGGGAGGATTGTTCAAACATTCACTGAATCAGAATAATGTTAAAAATTAGCAATAAAAAGCACTAAGGTACTCTACTGTATACCTAATAGTGTAAACAAAATTTACAGATACAGTGGTCCCTCAATAATCGTCCGGCCTGAAAGTCGTCCATTTCGGAAACAGTCCCGTTATTTCGTCTAAACATTGGCTCGCAAATGGTCCGTTAACTTGCTAATCGTCCTTCGTCCGGGATGCGTACTCACGCTCTGAGCCGCCTGGGCCTGCCTTCCCAGCCAGTGTGCCATTGTTTACCAGTGAGCGACGGTCCCCTCACTTGCTCCTACGAAATATTTCATAATATTCCATTGATTTTAGTGCTTGCAAGTGCTAAATAAGCTACCATGGCTCCAAAAAAAGATTCTAGTAAAGAATGTGAGAAACACATATAATTTATGAAAAAGTTTGTAGAAAAATACAAAGGTGGTGATGGTAGAGTGGAAGCAGTTGTGATAGTGGTTGATGGTGGTAGAGGGTGGTAGTGATGGTGGTAGAAGGTAGTAGTGATGGTGGTAACAGTTGTAATAGTGGTAAAAGGTGGTAGTGATGGTGGTAGCAATTGTAATAGTGGGAGAAGGTGGTAGCAGTTGTAATAGTGGTAGGTGGTGGTAGAGGGTGCCTTCTTTAGTGATTCAGCGATTCTACCAACTCCTCCAATGTTGTTGGAGTTATATAGGGCCACAGAAAACACCCCTGCCTCAGCTGCTGCTTCACCACCATTATGGACAGCTTACTCTCAGTGGCCCTTATATACCCAACAACAACACAACACAACACCTCTCTTGACATACATAATGACTTATTTTATTCATTCTTGAGTATATTCCATGTTTCTATGTTATTAATATTGTTTATTATGTCATATTAGTTGAATTGTGATAGATAAATAAGCCGTAGAGTTAATATTAGTGTCATATTCTCCAACAATAAACTTGCCATCCCTCCCTCACACAAACAGTCTTCAATAAGAACATAAGAAAGGAGGAACACTGCAGTAGGCCTGCTGGCCCATACTAGGCCAGTCCTTCACAAATCCAACCCACTAACAAAACAAATGCTACCCAAGCAATAAGCTCAGGTGCAAGTCCGACTCAAATCCAACCCCTCTCACTCGTGTATTTATCCAACCTAAATTTGAAACTACCCAATGTTTTAGCTTCGATCACCCTACTAGGCAGACCGTTCCACTCATCAACTACCCCTATTACCAATGTTCATTTATACATTTTATTAGTGCTTTACATTTATTTGGCATTCTTTTCTGCATGTAAATCTATATTTATGCTAGGGAAGTGACCCCTGAAGTGACCTAGAGTCCTTATGCAGGGGGATTCCCTTTCCAATCAATAACCTCTCTTCCCTGTCTCCTCCTCCCTGTCTTCCATTCATCAAGAACAGCCTTCAATAAAGGTAACTGTCATGTCACTCACCCACCCATTTGACCATAAACAGAAATATTAATCTCAATCTTAAAATAATGAATCCTGTGATACTCCAATACTGAAACTATGTACTGTGCCAAAACAAAAGCATTCATATTGCTAAACTCACAAACTAGTATTTAGTCACTTAGCCATAATACCAACTTACCTCATAATTTGTAATATTTTAAAATTAAGAATTAAACTAAGTCTGCCCGAAATGCCTAGCCATGCTAGGTGTTCTAGTGGTACACTCTGTAATCATTATTTTACTACATGTAAACCACACAATAACCAAATTCTGTAAACTCAGCACTGTAATCCTTATAGAGAATAAACTTTGAATTTGAATTTGAATGTTGAATGTTCATTCTTTTGTGCATGTAAATCTATCTTTTAGGTAAAAAAAAAAATTGTTGTTGATACTTCTGGGCGTCTGGAATGAATTAATTGGATTTACATTATTTCTTATGGGGAAAATTGATTCGAAAATCGTCTATTTCGATAACAGTCCCACTTCCAGAAACGGATTAAGGACGATAATTGAGGGACCACTGTATATTGCAATAAACATTGAAAATAAAGGAGTTAACGTACAATTTAACAAGTGGACATTACCCATAATTTTAAAATTCCACTATATCAAGGTCTGTCATATGAGGATTTAATGTATTTCTGTAGGTTTAGTTAGTTGTAATAAACAAAATAACCTAACCTGTATTATAATAATAATATATATAATAATACTAATATCTTTATTTACTACAAGTACATGTACACTGTAGGTAGTAAGTTGGTAGACAGCAACTGCCCAGGGAGGTACTACTGTCCTGCCAAGTGAGTGTAAAACGGAATCCTGTAATTGTTTTACATGATGGTAGGATTGCTGGTGTCTTTTTTCTCTTAAACATGCAAGATTTCAGGTACATCTTGCTACTTCTACTTACACTTAGGTCACACTACACATACATGTACAAGCATATATATATACACACCCCTCTGGGTTTTCTTCTATTTTCTTTCTAGTTCTTGTTCTTGTTTATTTCCTCTTATCTCCATGGGGAAGTGAAACAGAATTCTTCCTCCGTAAGCCATGCGTGTTGTAAGAGGCGGCTAAAATGCCGGAAGCAAGGGCCTCGTAACCCCTTCTCCTGTATAAATTACTAAATTTAAAAAGAGAAACTTTTGTTTTTCTTTTTTGGGCCACCCTGCCTTGGTGGGATACAGGCTGGTTTGTTGAAAAAAAAAAAAAGTACATTGTAGGTAGTAGGTTGGTAGACAGGAACCACCCAGGGAGGTACTACCGTCCTGCCAAGTGAGTGTAAAATGAAAGCCCGTAATTGTTTTACATGATGGTAGGATTGCTGGTGTCTTTTTTTTTTCTGTCTCATACACATGCAAGATTACAGGTACGTCTTGCTACTTCTACTTACACTTAGGTCACACTACACATACATGTACAAGCATATATATACACACCCCTCTGGGTTTTCTTCTATTTTCTTTCTAGTTCTTGTTTATTTCCTCTTACCTCCACGGGGAAGTGGAAGAGAATTCTTCCTCCGTAAGCCATGCGTGTTGTAAGAGGCGACTAAAATGCCAGGAGCAAGGGGCTAGTAACCCCTTCTCCTGTATATATTACTAAATGTAAAAGGAGAAACTTTCATTCTTCCTTTTGGGCCACCCCACCTCAGTGGGATATGGCCGGTGTGTTGAAAGAAAGAAGAAACATGTACGTGGTATACAGGTCTAGCTGACATCAATGACATACTACTATATAGAAAGCCGCTTGTTATGCTGAGCATTTCAGGCAAATTAGGTCAGTTTTGTCCCAGGATGTGACCCACACTGGTCGACTAACACCCAGGTACCCATTTTAAACTGATGGGTGAGCAAGGACAGGGACAGCAGGTGTCTTATGGAAACAAGTCCCAAATGTTTTCCAACTGTACTGGAGGAGATTCAAACCCCGGACCTCAGTGTATGAGCTGAGTGTGATAGCGATCGAGCTATGGGACAGAGAGAGTGAAAAAGTTTAAAATACACAGTTATGATGTGTGTGTGAATTAACTCATGTCACTTTAAATGTTGAACTAACCTCATATGTGACTTTCAGGCTTGTCTGGAGTATTATTGGTGTAAACTTTGTATGTGGTTCTGCTGTCAGCCACAATCTGAAGTCTTTATGTGGCTGTAGGGAATTAAGTTCTTTTTCTAGAGTTGGAAGCCAAGCAGTGACCAGGTGAAGGTTCTTCAGACACAACCAGTGGCCAGCAGATGCACAATCATGCAGTAGCTTTATGGCTATCTCACTCTGTCCTTGACCCATAGCCACCTATTAGGAAAAAAAATTAAGGTTGAAAATAAAGAAAAAATCTTTGAAATAAAAACATGATAAAAATATCTCCTAGTACTTGCAACATAAATTTTGAATTTGAAGATTCTTGTACACTGTCTTAGGCTAAGTCAAATTTGAATAAAGTGGTGAATTCTCAATAAGAATTGTAGCAATGCACATGTCATAATAATAATAAGTGATGATATTGTTTGGCAGCATGGGACAAAGACACAGAAAAAGGATCAATAATCATTTAATCTTTTTACTTCCCACTTCCAGTATTATTTCATAAAATATTTATATAAAAGAAAGAAGTTGCTCACTATTTGTTGATTTTAGCAAAAATAAATTAAGAGAATTAGGGCTACAGGGCTATCCTAAATGTGAAACCTAATTTTAATTTGAGTAATAGTTTTAAGTCAATGTTTTCCTTCATAAAATTTAAGATAGCCTAATTTCAGAATCTGTGTGCATTTATGATTAAACTAATGCACAATTATGATTAAACTAATGCACAATTATGATTAAACTAATGCACAGTTTTACAGGAATCTGATGTTCATAGACAGTGAATGTGAATGAAATTTTTTTTTTTTAAATCCTACAGTGTATACATCACAGTACCCTTCAGGTATGAATGTTGATGCTGATCATAATTTTGAAATTAATTATATTAAGTGTAAATATATTAGTTTACTTTTTTTACCCTCAACAGCTGTCTCCCAGCAAGGCAGGGTGACCCAAGGAAGACATATATATTGTGGTGTCAGCCAGAAGTGTGCTGAGATCATAATCATATTAACCTTCAACTGCATCATCCTCCACCCATCCTTCAGAGTGCAAGCACTTGTCCTTTCAACCTCCAGGACTCAAGCCTGGCTGACCAGTTTCCCTGAATCCCTCCAAAAATGTTACCTTGCTTGCACTCCAAAAGCACATCCATTAAAAACCACTTGTTTTCATTCAATCCTATCTAACATGTTCACACAAGACTTAAAACTCAAAGCCTCTTTTACTTCCATTACTGAATATTTTATAAACCATATAATGCTGTACATACTGCATTTTAATACTATAAACATCTTTTTTAGTGAAGGGATTCAGGGAAACCGGTTATTTTTATATAGCCGGACTTGAGTACTGGAAATGGGAAGTACAATGCCTGCACTTTAGAGGAGAGGTTTGGGATATTGGCAGTTTGGAGGGATATGTTATATATCTTTATATATGTTTCTAAACTGTTGTATCTGGGTGCCTCTGCAAAGACAGTGATTATGTGTGAGTGAGGTGAAAGTGTTGAATGATGATGAAAGTATTTTATTTGGGGGGATTTTCTTTCTTTTTGGGTCACCCTGCCTCGGTGGGAGACGGCCGACTTGAAAAAAAAAAAACATTATTTCTGCAAGATTCACTAATACTGTCTAAAAATTTTCAATCTTTGATTTCACAACTCAGTTCAATCACTCCATAAAATGCAGAGCACTGAATTGATGTAAATTCTGTTATTTATTTGTACTTGACCAATTTGTCATTCACATTGTACGTGTGAGATTGTGTCTAGATTTAAGCAGCAATATGTAAGCCATATGATTAGTCTGCCTGAAATGAATTTCATAATTAATGGCTTTCTTTATGTCTACATTTGTCTCAGATTATGTACACCTTGTAAAAAATAAAGAAATAATTTAAAATTTTCAGGGTTTTAGATAATGTTTTATTTTCTCTACAAAACTTAAAAGAAAAATGACCAACCTATAGCTGGGATATCAAGCCTACCAATTATGGTCAGTAAGCAATGTTTATATTTTATAAAATTGTAAAAGATGGTCAGCTTTCCCAGATGAATCTAATTATACAATACCTCATTATAGCTGTTATTTCCTACAGTATTTTTGACCAGTTCAAGAAGTTCTTGTGAAGGATCAGCACCAGGGGAAATAATGATCATAATGGGTTCTCCAGCTGATGTTTCGGGAAGAAGACGACGAAGATTTAGAGCTGGAGGAGACAATTCCTTCATTCCTATAATTAAAAAAATAATTTTATATAAGTGTTCTTCTATTCATCTTAATCCATTTGCTGATTAATAGAAGAGTGTTAAATGCTCTGTAACTGCAAATAGGTAGTAATCATACATATAGTATAAAATTATTCATTTGTCAAAACCAGATCTAACATGTAAAAACAAGAAACATTAGTCTATTTCTGCTGCGCCCACATAAATTTGTATCTGAATTCTGGAACTGCTACTGTATTATCAAAACAAAAATGTTGCGGCACAAAGAAATCAGTAGCCTGTCACACTGCCTTGGGCTTTAATGTTGGCCACAATTATAACCAGGGCCATGAACATGACCAGTGCCATTGTCACTAGGCTATCTCTATGTGGTGCCTCATGGTAAAGACCTTGTTGTATCACTGTTTTCACACAAGTTACCTGGTTGATGCTGGCACTACACATTTTCTTCAGTTTAACTATCAATTTCATTATCATCGTTCCATTCAAATACCTAAATACCTATTTAATTGCAGAGGACCCCCGGTTATCAGCCGTAATCCGTTCCAGAAGGTCGGCCGATAACCAAATTAATATCTCCTGCAAACACAGTGTCTTCTGCTTGTGTTAATGATCCATCATTATTAGACACTTCAATACAGTGAAACCTCAAATTTCGAATGTATTGCTTATCGAACTCTTTGAAAATCAACCATTTTTTTCGAACCAACTTTGTCCCTATTATCGAACTCGCCCCTTCTTTCGAACCGCCGGGTACCAGACCTGTCAGCCAGCCTGCTCTGTCCGTGTCCCGGCACAGGTGCTGTGAGCCAGTCTGGCTTTGTAGATGCTTGAGTGAACACTAACCTGCGGTCTCATTCAAACATTTTACTATTAATTCATTGTGTTTAGTGCTTGTGGGACTGTGACATAGGCTACCATGGGCCCAAAGAAACTTGCTAGTGGTACCCCTGCGGTAAAGAAAGTGAGAAACACCATAGATGTGAAGAAGGAAATAATACAGAAGTATGACAGTGGTGTGCAAATTGTTGAGCTTGCCAGAAACAGAGGACTGTGGACAGTTATTTTGTGAGACAGGGGTCCAGTGACTCTCAAGCTGGCCCTAGTGGCATTAAAAGACAGAGAAGGGAAGTAACCCCAGAGAGGGCTTTGATACCTAAAGTCCTTATGGAGGGAGATTCCCCTTCCAAACACTAACCCCAACTCCCTCTCTCCTTCTCCCTATCTTCCAGATGCCATCACCAATCTTCAATAAAGGTAAGTAAAAATGTTATTTTATATGTTTATTTAAATTTATTAATAATTGTACACTATATTTGTTGTGTGTATGTAAAAGTACAATGTAATACCATCTATAAAATGTATTTTTTTTGTGAATACAGAGTAACCTCTACTTGCGAGTTTAATCCGTTCCATGACCTTGCTTGCAACTGGATTTGCTCGTTTGCAGTCAATTTTCCTAATTTAAATTAACTGAAATGCAGTGGAATTCTGTACTTCAATAATTTCACTAATATCAACTCTACGGCTTATTTATCTATCACAGTTCATCGAATATGAGATAACAAACAATATAAATAACATAGAAACCTGATGTATACTCTAGAATGAATAAAATATGTCATCATATATGTGGCAGTAGCGGTGGCCAACCAACGAGAGTTTGTCTGGAGACAAGACAAAATACTCCTTGAATATTTTGCTATCATCAACTCTACGGCTTATTTATCTATCATAGTTCATCTAATATGAAATAATAAACAATATAAATAACATAGAAACCTGATATATACTCCAGAATGCATAAAATATGTCATTATGTAACAGGTGGAGGCAGCCACGACCGCTCCCTCTTTGCTGTGGTAAACACTGCCATCTAGTGACGGCCTTTTGAAGTTTGTCTATTATTATAATTATTATTATGTAGTGCATTATTATTATATATATATTATTATTATACGTATTATATTATTATTATTGTTGTATTATATTTTTATACTATTATTATTATACGTAATATTATTATTATACATATGATCATTATTATTATTACGTTAAGAAGCATCTTTCCATCATACATTGCCCAAATTTCAATAAGATAGTCCAACAAACAAATGAGATACAATTCCCTAGATCAAGAGCAAGAGCCCCTCACCAGTGTTAAGGCACCTGCCTTGAGGTCTGCTCGCTTATGGAAATTTTGCTCGCGTATGGAAGCAAAAAATTGACTCATTGACTGCACGTAATTGGAAAAGCTCGCACGTGGATGCGCTCACAAGTAGAGGTTCCACTATATTTTTGGGTTTCTGGAACGGATTAATTGTATTTCCATTATTTCTTATGGGAAATATTGCTTCGCCTTTCAAACTTTTCGACTTTAGAACTAGCTCCTGGAATGGATTAAGTTCGAAATTTGAGGTTCCACTGTATCTGAAAATGTAGAAATAGTTGTTTAACAGTGAATATAATCACTTACTCACCCAAAACCAAATAAATACTGAATAACTGAACCTTATAAATTGTATATCTTAAATGTTTCTCACAATTATATCACATAAATGTTAAACCTAAAACCAAATCTAACTTTATTATTTTTTTAAATACACTACCTAACAGAATACTTCATACGACTGAATGTACAACAATGCATGCAACCATATGACCTGTCTTTGTAATACTCACTTGTGCTTTATAGTAATCTGTTTACATTAATGTTTTATCACTGATTTCATCATTGCTTAGTTAATCCTAAGTTAATTTTAAGCTATGCATAGTATAAGTGGCTTTGGCATGCTGCTCTTATCTGTATTTTTTGTACCTCTGTATGTGTGCTCAAATTGTTAATAAATAAATAAATAAATAAATAAATAAATAATTAATGAAACTGTCAAACTCTGTTGCCAAAATGTGTAAGGACAAGCTCTGTTTAGTAATAAAAATAAGACTGTTGGAGTATGGCTGTGAGTCAACAAGTGATAAAACTTCTTGTAGGTGAAAATTTTTTTAATAATAAAAGGTCTCTTGTTTGCTATGTATCTTTTTTAATCAAAATTAAGGTCAGTTTAAAGCCTATCAATTACTGTGCATGAAGGTCATTAACCCTTAAATGGTCCAAACGTATATAAAGGCAAACACCAAGGATTCACTGATGTAATGTCATATTAACACTTCTCTTTTAAGAGGAAAGTGATGTTAACCCCAAGTTTAGGGTCTGTCAATCTCTGTCTATCTGTCTCTGACTTTGTCTATCTCTGTCTGTGTCTGTCTATCTGTGTCTGTCTATCTGTCTCTTTGTCTATCTCTATCTGTCTCTGTCTATCTGTGTATCTGTCTCTGTCTGTATCTATCTATCTGTGTCTGTCTCTGGCTTTGTCTATCTGTCTCTGTCTATCTCTTTCAATCTGTCTTTGTCTATCTCTGTATCACAGGATACAATAATACATAACAAGTATTACTAGATAAAAATACCCCAGAAAATCCCTATACTCGCTAAGATGTAGAAAGGAATGACCAGCTTGTGGCTCTTGTGTAAGGAGCTGACAGTAGACAGGGAGTCTTCGACAGACAACAGACAGAAAGTTGTGATAACAAAAAAAAGCGGGGATGGTCACTAATTTTCTGATCAGTCACTGCCTCCTGTAGTCACAAACTAGCTCTTATCAGGTATTGGTTCATGCTGGCGGGGTGGACTTTGTTTCAGCTTCAGGGGAACATTTATATATAATCTTAAGGATGATAGTCTTGATGACCTCCTCGTCTCTGTCCGGGTCTGCGCGGTCCGGTGGGGCTGAGCCTTGGTCCTGTGTTCTGCTCTTGACGTTGTCTGGTGGAGTGGGTGCTTCGCCCTCTCTACACGCAGTAATGTCTACTCCACGTACGACAGGAATCCTGCCTCAACGCGTACGCCGAACTCGACCGAGTCGAGAAGCTATGAGTAGGAGACTATCTCACTATGCTCCTAGTGCGCCAGCTCCCCGTCGACCTCTCATATCTCCTCAGTAGTCTCAGCGTCATCATCAAGCTTCTCGACCTCCGCGCCACTACCCCTCTACTAGCACTCTGCTCATCCCAAGCTCGTCATACGCTCACGCTTATCTTGCTATAGGCGAAGTAAGAAGCAAGGAGCACGAGCCACAGGACGGAGAAGACTCGACGAAGGCTATGCAATCGCAGGAGAGTGATGTGAAGGGCTCGGAGAACGGAGGAGCGTGAAGAAGTGCAAACGTGAGATCGAAGGAGCAAGGTGAAGAAGGAGAGGCGAGATAGAAGGGATCAGTTCGCACTTTAGTCTCAAGGCTGGTATAACCCATAACTCTAGACAAAGTGCTTTCGCTGTAAAGTGTGTGTAAAGGGAATGTCACAGTCTGTGGTCTCTGCCCCCTGTCAGTGAGCTTGAGATAGACAGGTGAGCTTGCAACTAGCTTATCTGACTGTTGGTTGGTTCCATGTGTTTACTTGCTTGTTAGTCTGCTATACGTGTGCTGGATGCTGCTGCTACCAGTACCAATCATCAAGTTCGTGGAGCTGATTACCAGGATCAGACGTAAGTTGATGCTGACAGGTGGGTATGGGCTGGGGGGTCGGGGGGGGGATGGAGCTGGGGTATCGGGTGTATGTGGTGGTTGAAGGTTGGTGGTGGTGGGGTGGGTAAAAAAATAAGAAGAGATGACAATGGTAAGGCGACGCACGAGCCGAGTGAAGGAGCGTGCGAGAAAGGAGAGAGAAGTAACCGTAAGACAGGCAGGGGGGAGCTGATTTTGAGTCAGACGAGGAAGCAGGATGATAGCAGAGGTAGCGTAGGAGATAGATAGGTAGAGATAGCAGGGATGCTCGTATACGGCTCAGAAGATCTAGGTGGACTAAGTAGATATCTACGACAAAAGACAGCCTCGAACGTCATCCCTTGAACGACAAGTTCATCGCACTACGCAGAAGGTACGAAGAGTAGCAGAGGCGGGAAGAACCGAACCTAGTACGCGCAAGAAGCGACGCCAGAAGCTACGCA